ATAATAATAATAATAATAATAATAATAATAATAATAATAATAATAATGTGTTAAGTGTTGTCATCATTGTATGTTCCCATACAATGGTGAAATTGGCTCTCTGCATTTAACCCATTCACCACCAGGTGGAGCAGTGGGCAGATATTGTGGGCGCCTGGGGAGCATTTGGGGATAGGGTGTGTTGTTCAGAGACACCACAAGATGTTCAATGACTGGGGATTGAACCTGGGACTTTCCGGTCCCAAGTCGGTCGCCCTGCCTCTGCAGTGGTGTTTAAAACGTGCTCACATCTCTTTTTAGACTTAATCTTAAGTTTATGTTTTTTTCTTTTGCAGATTTACTGCTTATAATTAAATTAAAAATCCTATGAAATTACAGATTATAAATCAACAAAAAGGAAAATTTATCAAGGGGAGAATACTTTTGTAATAATGATCCATCCATTATCTTTACCCTCTTCTTCCTTTTCGGGTCACAGGGGTCACTAGTGCCACTGGTGCCCATGTCCAGCTATCAATGTGTGAGAGGCGGGGGACACCCTGGACAGGTCTCCAGTCCATCACAGGGCCACATAGAGACAAATGAGACAAACAACCATTCACTCTCTCACTCCCACCTAGAGACAATTTAGAGTTACCAATCAGCCTAACATGCATGTTTTTGCTCTGTGGGAGGAAACTGGAGTACCTGGAGAAAACCCATGCATGCATGAAGACAACATGCAAACTCCACCAGAAAGGTCCTGGGCCAGAATTTGAAACGGCTGAGAGGCAGCAGCTCTACCAACTGTGCCATCGTGCCACAATAATAATCCACCATACATTATATATTATTCTCCTGTTAAACTCCTTATGGCAAACTACCTTACATGGTTTCCTGTTTCAACACATATAATTTTTATTCAGTTAATTTTTTACATGTTCTTGTAAAACTTGTTGAAATGTTGTTGAAGTAGGTTTTTCATTTGAATCAGACGTGTTGGAACAACCAGGCATCTAATAATGACATCTGTGCTCAGGATTGGGACACAAATCTCAGACAGGTCCTGATTTAGTTATATCTGACCTGTTGTTCCTGCAGTTCAAATATGGTTGAAGTTCTTTATTGACATGTGTCAATGAAAACATTTTAAAGTCAGAAAATCGGTTGGAGCCAATCCACTCAAGCAATCAGTGATATATTTAACTCATTTAACTCATTTATTAGAGTCACAGGAAGTTGATAAACAGTAATGTAGTGAAAGTTTATTTTTTTTAACCAAACCATACCAAGGTTAAGTTTATTGGGCCCTGATGCAGTTTTACAGAGACAAGACAGGTGATGCAGTCTAAGGACAAAGGCCATCAGAATACAAGTGTATGGAAACAAACACATAAAACAACCTCTCCTCACCCCAAGAAGAAAAATGTTTCAACCTTGAACAAAACCAGAACCAAAACCCCCAAACCAGATGTGTCAGGATTGGTCTTTGCTTGTAAAAAGATCCAACTGTGGG